AGCCCGCGCTAAGCAGAACTTGGTACGCACCCGCGCCTCACGTCCGATGGGGCAATATCGGGCAGCGGGGGGGATTCAGAAGTCACAAATAAGCGTGCCCACCAAAGCTGAGCACGGCCCATCCCACCCAACTCAAAGGCCACTTTACTATAGCTTTAACTGGCTGCAGTCAACCACATACCATCCCTGTCAGGAGTATCATATATCGAGCGTCGGAGCGACTCGAGCCCAGAATCTCACCACCGAGAGTCAAACGCCCTACCAACTGAACTACGGGACAGGCTTTTACAAACGCACTAATTCGGCTCGCCGACTAATTCGGATACCCCAGTACCGGCGGTACCTCAACGAATTAGTGACACTAACACTCGGTAGACCATGGCATAAACCGGGGTCAGAATTTGCAAGCAACTCGGGAAATCTGTCTTACCGACTACCAGGCATACTGAGTTGGAAACAAGAGGTGCGTTTGAGGCCCCATCGTCTTTGAAGCCATTGCGAACCCCAATAGTTTCAACTACCCTCGTTGCCTTCGTAGCACGGAATATATAGTCTACGACATGTCGTAGACTATATATTCCGTGCTTCGTAGTCATTCCGTCACCGAAGAAATCACTGGGACGGGAGAGGGAGAAACGCATGCATAATGCATACCACTTTCCGACGTCAGTAAAGGGGCAAACTGATGTGGAACCCTGATGCAGGCATCACTCAGACTACCACCGTTGGTTCGACACGAGGCAAACTGCCACTTTTCCGCGAAAGCGACGCGACTGAGCTCCGGATTCACAATTCACATATAGCCTTCACGATGCTGTCGCACAAGAAAAAAAAAAAAACTGGCTCCTGTCTTCTCGTAACCATTAACATGCGATAGAGCCGGAACCTTACTTCTGATTACTGTTCCACCATAAAATAGTGCGAAAGAGCATTACTTTGGAAACCAGTGGAAAAGCAATATCCGATTACAGAAAGATCCGATCAGTCGGACGCATACGTAGGTACGAGTAGCTTGATTACTCATTGCTGACAATGACGGTCCGCGCATGCCAGATGCAAATAAAGGCGCAACCACTGAACACAATCGTACTCGTTTGAAGGATAATATATACCCATGTCATGACACTGTATGTCCTCTTTGCAAAAGTGACGTCCTTACCTGCTTGTTACGCGGCATCCAGAACTCACTAGACGAGGGTTTCGCTGAAGCTCGATTCGTAAGTACGAAGCTGCAGGGCGTCCGAAAAGTTGGTCGAGTTTTCCAATACCAATAAATATATTAAAGCCTAACACGTAAGGGTATCATATTTTGCAATCAAATACTTGGTTGACAGCCACTTAGGACGCCGTCCTCTTTGGCGTCATCTACCCGAGTGCCGTCCACTACTCGCGGAGTAACACCGAAATCTGTCCGATCCTGACAGGGACCGAGGTCGCATTTGTACCACTGAGCGGTTTCGGAAAGCCAGCACGTCTGTTCGTGGTGACGAGGATGACGTCCTCGATGACGCACGCTGTGCACCTGTGGCCGCCCATGTCGCCGCGGCCACCGCCGTCGGGTTACACCGGGGCGACGACAGCCGCTGGCAGAATGGCGGCGGAGGCTTACCTCTGCCACCGCCATTAAAGGTAATGGACACAACTACTGTACAGGGTGTCCCAGAATTACCCGGACATTTATTTTCTGGCTAAAAGTGCGACTGCGCTCGCTTCTAATGATATACAAGCATCATACTTTTATAAGATATCCCTAAACTATCGAGATTGGAGACTGTGTGCTTTTGGTGGCCGGTAACGACTCGAATCAATTATTATCCAGAGTCAAGTAAGAGGAGTCCTTTTCCGTTTTCAGCTTAAGCCACTAATAGGCAACCATGGTGAATCAACTCCCGTTTTCAACTTTGTAAACGGACTTTCGGCATGGTCTTTGCTGGAGAGCTTCAGCAGCTCATCTGCAAGCAGTTAAGATTGAGCAAAGCGCAATTATATCAGCTAACGAAGCCAGAGAGAGCAAGAGATAAACCTGATTGACAAGCTTGGGCTCGGCCAAAAAGGGCCATGCACCAGTTGTCAAACAAGGGGTTGCTTGTCATAGACAACAAACGTCACCGATCTAGCTAAAAACTAGCTAAACAATAGATCAGGATTATCTACAAAACATCAGTCTACTTTGCACCACTATCTTCGACAAAATTTTGGAATTAGGGGTCCTTCGCCAGAAAAATATGCGAAAACTACGGGGAAAGGAGCGCAAATCACTACAACTCATCCCAAAAACATAACATATACAATTAAACAGTATATTGAGACACACTTTGTGGTCTAACGAAGTTATTATGTCCTTTGAACCGCCCGAAAAAGGCTTGTGTGAACGTCAGATGGCTACAACGCCCCAACAGCAGAGACGGCCAGGCACCCGTCGAAAATCAAATTGTGAGACATCTTGAGCCACCGTACACTCATTGGGCTTGATATGATGGCCCAAAGACAACCGTTAGCACAGGGTACTACTGCGGTAATATTCTACCAGTGCGAAAACTGGATGCCGTGAACCAAATGGCCATGAACGGGTTTGTTTTGGAAACCAAATCTGTTGGAAGCCAAAGGTTGCGCAATGTTCAGACATGGAGCTTCTCCACTCCAGATGTAAAAAAACGCAGCAAAAGTGGCGTAGGCAGAAATTTTTGTTTTGGGGGATAATACCTTATGGCCTGGGAACACTTTGATGTCAAGTTTATCTTATATGATCGTATTATCCTCCGGCAAGAGGTCAAAGAAAACAGGCCTACACCCAGTTTCGGGAGACCCGTAAAACAACTGAGACCAGCAATGGCTGGCATTTTCCATCATTGTCGGCTGATCTTGTAACAAGCGTATCTATTGCATGTGCTATTTCACAGCCACCCTAGTTGACTATATAAGACGGTAAAAAGAAAAAAGCGCAATCATGTTTGCCTTATTTTATATACTAATTAACAATGTCCGGGTAATTATGGGACACCCTGTAGGCTTGGAACGCTTGGTTGGTGCTTAACCTGCTATTTACTTATTAGGTAATTATGAAACGATGAAGCTCATTGATACTATAAAATACTCGTATTTCAGCCTCAGATCGCCACCACCAGGCGCGGAGTTTATGCGAATAGAGAATAGAAATGAGTCATTCAGCCATGTTTGCTGTGCACCAACAACATGTCCTGGTAGTAACAGCCAGTGGAACATATATTACTTATCTATGCAGTCCACTTAAGAAAATGCTACCAAAAAGTCACTTAATAACATACTTTCTCAACTGTTTCCAAGCCTTCAAGGTAAATAATAATATACTCAACACTGAATCAATGAAGTCAACATTCGATTTAATGTTGGCGAGAAGGGGAAATACGTGTTAATCCCAGACGCATATAGCGAAAGCTATTTCCGGCTGGCCATTCGCAGAGCGGATAATATGCGGTACCCGCTGTACGCTATAGCTCTGAAGTTTGTCCAGTGAAGTCCCCACTGAGGCCCGACAATTAGCCGACATTGATAGCTCAGAACCTTCAATGGTCGGGACAGGTAGTTTCACATGTCATTGAGCTGCACTCCAGGCGCATAACTGAGATTATCACAACGCTGCTTTTCTTTTACCACACCCTCGGTCACATATCCCGCTTACGCTCTCCGGGCCTGGATCAATGCCACTATACGCCGGTGGAAAAATCCTGCCAGAATTTCCGTGGCACTGCTTCCAGATAAAAGCCCATCTGTTAGCAGGAATTGAACTGTCGCCCGCCCACTTCATTTGTCTCTTCCATGCAAGTCCGCTGCTAGGCAAGACACCGTTTAAATTGTTTGGACAATGTTATCGATTAAATATTAGCTTATTAATTAGGTGCCAACTGTTACTGACGGGCAAACTGAAGAGAAATGTTGGTCTCGCACAGAATAGTGATTTAAACATGACATTTGTTGGCCCCAAAACATATTGTCTTTGTTCAATATCAAATAAGATGCACGGGTACGCCAAGGGTTCGTTAACTAAGACCCCATAAATCCCCATCAATCTTCTTGCAATCAGCGATAGTGTACTATTAGCCTCACATCAATATTGATGGTGACACTGGCAGACGCTGGGAGGCAGAGCGCCACGGTCCGGCTCACGGCTATCCCGGCTCGCGCTGTCAGATGCCGGACAAATGCCGAGTAAAATTACAGAAAATCCGTGCAAAAGCCTGTATCCACGTAGTCAGCCAGTAGGATTAACCCACATAGATACATCAATGATCGACAGGCACGGCTCAGAAATGATGATATTATTTACACTCTAAAGGTAAATTGAGAAAACGCGCCCGACAATTTGACGACAAAATCTAGCAGGAGCTAAAACTACCGACAGTTTTCATAGGTCGTTCTGTTTATATGGGTAAACTGTCTCACTGGATAAGACATTCAAAGTAAACCATACGTCGTCCTACTCCCAGAGAACATAACATACGCTCACTGTTCCATGTCTCTCTGTGACATCTCCCCTCCGCTCTAGGCGCTCCGGTCCCACAGGCCGCTCCCCACAGTCCCACAGGCCGCTCCCCACAGTCCCACAAGTCGCTCCCCGGTCCGACACGCCGCTCCCCACGGTCCCACAGGCCGCTCCCCACAGTCCCAAACGCCGCTCCCCACAGTCCCACACGCCGCTCCCCACGGTCCCACAGGCCGCTCCCCACAGTCCCAAACGCCGCTCCCCACGGTCCCACACGCCGCTCCCCGGTCCCACAGACCACTCCCCGGTCCCACAAGTCGCTCCCCGGTCCCACAAGTCGCTCCCCGGTCCCACAGACCGCTCCCCGGTCCCACAGGCCACTCCTCACGGTCCCACAGACCACTCCCCGGTCCCACAGGCCGCTCCCCACGGTCCCACAGACCGCTCCCCGGTCCCACAGGCCGCTCCGATGGCCCCTTCCCCAGGTCACCACCAGGCCTGCTCTACCTCCCGCGGGGCCGACCGCCGCCGCAGTACTCACGGTCGGCCATCGACATCTGCATGGCGTAAGCAATCTGCTCCTCTTCGGTCATGGAGGCAAAGTCGGGCGCCGCCGGAGTGCCGCCGCCGCCTCCCATCGACATGGCCAGCGCCTGGGGCAGGGAGTGGGGGTCAGATGGCATCAGAGACCAGCGAGGGTCAGACCACACCCGGGACCAGCGCCCGGGGCCGGTCAGCAGGGGCCACCGCCAGACGGCACCTGGGTCCGATCACGCGGGGAGGAGAGGCGGGGGGTCAGGCGGGGCTGGCCACGCGGGTAGCGGAGGGCTCCGACAGCCCAGCAGGCGAGGGAAGGGTCTTCCATCGGACCAGTACGTCTTGACCGTAGATAGAAATGGTAGGCGCTCCGGAGATCTCGCCACATGCCTTGGCAATAAACAGAAAAGATATGCGCTCCAGTGAGCTCACCACATCCATTGCTGGAATAGGTGACTTACATGAGACGCTGCAAGCGTCAATAGCGTCGATATATATATTATTCGCTGCAAAGCACGTGAAGTGTGCTCTGGAGCCACGGCGCGATCCCGGTATTCATACATTGGAGTGTTCATCTCAAAATGCGCAACATCCCGAGCCCGAGTCAATAGACTGGCTACCGGGCGCTCAAACGAGTCCCGTGGTGTGCTCGCTCTATTGTCTGCTCAAACGAGTCCCGTGGTGTGCTCGCTCTATTGTCTGCTCAAACGAGTCCCGTGGTGTGCTCGCTCTATTGTCTGCTCAAACGAGTCCCGTGGTGTGCTCGCTCTATTGTCTGCTCAAACGAGTCCCGTGGTGTGCTCGCTCTATTGTCTGCTCAAACGAGTCCCGTGGTGTGCTCGCTCTATTGTCTGCTCAAACGAGTCCCGTGGTGTGCTCGCTCTATTGTCTGCTCAAACGAGTCCCGTGGTGTGCTCGCTCTATTGTCTGCTCAAACGAGTCCCGTGGTGTGCTCGCTCTATTGTCTGCTCAAACGAGTCCCGTGGTGTGCTCGCTCTATTGTCTGCTCAAACGAGTCCCGTGGTGTGCTCGCTCTATTGTCTGCGGGCTCCTCGTCACCTGACTCATATTGGCGCACGGTTCACAGCTACATGTGAAGATACTTCTCAGCTTCCCCGGTAGATTCACGTCATGACGCTGGCACTTGCCAGACTCTACCAGCTCGCTTAAGAATAATGACAAACCGACTATACAAAAAGATAGCGGCGTTTTTTTCGACGCATCAGCCGGCGCCCCTTCCTACACAAAAATGAGCGACAGTAGCCATACAAGGCTGTAAGGGAACTTCGGGTGACCCAAACACCCGATAAATATTAACCCGCGCCCTGCTGGGGGGGGGGGTGTTTGAACACCCCCCCTTGTGGTTTTTCGCGAATATCTCAAAAACGGCGGCGCGGAGCGCCGCCGTTTTTGGTACACCTTATCATACATCAATTCTACACATGTTGTGAAAATTTCAGACCAAGGTCATTCAAGGTCAGGTCACCAGGTCACTTGAAGTGACCTCACCTCATAAAAAGTTTCAATGTCTGTCATAGCTACACTGAGTGACCGATCGCTTTGAAACTTTCAGCGATTGCTAAGAGCAATAGCATGTACAAAATGTATATCTAAGAATTTTGATATCGATGACCTAAGGTCAGGTCAATTTTGCGACCTCCCCATTATAAGTCAATGGGAGAAAATTGAAATGCGCCTCTTTTGAACGAAAGACATTATAAACACTCCCAAACACTGATTTACAAGTGGTTTAGACACACTGAACATGAAAATGGTGTCCGTGACCCCTGTTTATGCCCTGAGGTCATCTTAGGTCACGAATGGTATCTAGCAGTTTTTCGCAAATAACTTTTGATAGAGACATGCTAGAGCGATGAAAACGCTTTAGATGTGTTCAGCTCGACGATACGGATCGACTGATATGCAACATGACCCTTTCCGGTCAGGTCATGACCTTGACCTGAGGTCAAATTTTCAAGTTGACCTTTCAAGGTCAAGTTATAGTTCATTCGATGCGTCTTGACGAGAGAAACACGATGCCGGTAAAAGTAAGCTCGTACAAGGCTTGGGTCAAAAGTTATTGCAGAAAAACCGTTTCCGAAAAAATCGGCTATTTTTGCCGTTTTTGCCCCCTGCAGGCAAAACCGTTGACGTTAGGTCAAATCTGAGAGAATTACTCAGAAAGGGCGTTAATAGGGCTATCGAATGCGCTTTTCCGCGGCGCTGTAGCTCTATTGGTTCCCGAGTTACGCGTTGGCTTCTTGGAAATTGTCGACATTCGACCTGGAAATCGGCGAAATTTTGCCTTCAATGACCTCTGGTGACCTGACCTTTGACCTGACCAAAAAATTGACTGAAGTGATTTCCTCATTATTTTTGACGCTCTTTCGAACGCCGCCTTCCGCGTATCGCTACGTGGCCCAGGAGCCGAGTTAGAAGGGGGGGTGTTCAAACACCCCCCCCCCCCCCAGCAGGGCGTGGAAATCCAGGACCCCCAGCCGGGCGCGGGTTAACTTTTTGAAAGTCCTCCGAAGAAATGGCGCCCGGTCATCGGTAACCACTCCTAGATCCTGTTCGCTTCAGGGACAGAGGGTGGCCCAAACATGTAACTGCCATGCTGAGTGGTGAGCTGGCCTGACAAAAATAGAAAACCCACTGACGACTCGGCCAGAGGCAGACTGGTCACACTACGTCATGCTCTATAGGCGAGTGGGGACTTATGGCTATGATCTCGTACAATGCCCTGGATTCAACTTGTATTAAATGGATGCTCAATTCTGTCGGGAGGTCACCACTCAGAACGACACGGATATTGGACATTCCGGCCATACCGAATGCTCGCTAAAAAACCGCAGGCTTCCAGAGCCCATAGCGCAAGAGGATTCATCGGAGTTCTATAGCCTTGGGTTCATCATCTAACCAAGAAAGACAGAGAGAGGAGGAGGGGAGAGTGTGTGTGAAGCAGCTTCCGAATACTTCTTTTTATATACCACCAGTAGCTGATTGCTTTTAACCCGCGCACTGACGGGGGTCTGAGCCAACTTCGTACCGACGGGGGGGGGGGGGCGGAACGAAGCAAGATAGCGACAAGCGGTAAACGGCATCGGATACGCACGGACAAGGGCTACAATTTTTACTAAGGTCATTTTCAGGTCAGGTCAAAGATGACGTCACAGGGGTCAAAAAAGTAAAAATGGCGGCGCTAGATATGGAGAGAGTTTTTCTCGAATAACTTTCGAATTAGTCAAGATAGGAACAAACTAAGTGCATCATCGTGATCCTCTCGCCAATCCGCATCGAATGATATATATGTTGACCTCGAAAGGTCAAGGTCAAAGGTTGACCTCAGGTCACGTGACCTCGAGGTCATCATGTATATCATTCGATGCGTCTTGACGAGCTGAACACAATGAGACCATCCGCGCGGCTGTATCTTGTTCCTGTACGGAGTTATTGGCAAAAAACCTTTGGTGACCTTTGATGACGTCACATGACCTTACAGCTGCCCAACAGCAAAACTGACCTCAAGGTAGTGAAGGTTGATCGTATATGAAGTCATGTATGGTATATGGGGCCATTACGACACGTTTTAGTGGTAAAAACAGGGAGTTGATTTTTCCCCCATTGACTTATAATGGGGAGGTCGAGAAATTGACCTGACCTTAGGTCACCGATATCAAAATTCCGAGAGATAAAAATTGTAGCTACTAATGACCTGATAACATCATGCGACTTTCAAAGGTCTCCGACATCTACTGTAGCTCTGGCACGGTGACAAAGTTGCAAAAAAGTGACTTGAGGTTGGGTCATTCAAAGTGACCTGGTGACCTGACCTTAAAAGTTAGGAGGTTCAAACTTGCACACCATGTGTAAAATTGATGCGAGAATAGTCGTACCAAATTTCGCGCCGCGGTTTTCCCGCTATTCGCGAAAAACCTCAGGGGGGGGGGGGGGCGGATATCCCGTCGGTGCGCGGGTTAAGCAATGGACATGGGTCTGGTGGTCACACAAGCTCCTATCGCTTTGAAGTCATCTCGCCATCAACTCCCTTATTCAACACAGGTCGTCGTTGAATCACAAATTCCAGACTGCATCAACAACTATGGGAGTGCACTATTTGACTCAGACTTGGGTAAAAGAGGCTTCATCTCAGAGCGCAGGCGAGCTGTTATGGGGTCACGTTCCGTAGTTGAGCGGCCATTCGGCGCCGTGCCGCTGTCGGCTAGTTAGCTCTAATGTGAGATACAGTAGCCAGTTCCGCTTCGTGTGGAGGTCCAGGAGACTTCTGTCGACCCGGCGTCAGACCAGGTCGGGCTACGTAACTGGCAGTGGCCGCGCTGGGTCAGCACGCGGAGACGGCGCGGACCCGGCAGAAGGCCGACATACACGAGTCAGCCGCGCATGCTGTAATGGCGATGTTTGGGCCAAGGGGTACCTGATGGGCGCCCAATGCAATGTAAACGTTCGCAGTCTAAGGTCTTGGGGGACCCCATGGTATCGGATGCTGAAAAATCGACGCTATACATTGTAGATAGATTACGCCCATTTGGGTCGGCCGTGATCGAGCATTGCTGGGCGGCGGTAGTGTATTCTGGGCCCTAAGGGGCAGCCAATAATCCACCATTACGAGCTAATCCCGAACGCCGGCGATCGTAGCGGCATCCCGACAGCGTTCTTAACAGACAGCTGAGGCACAGTGTACAGTGAACACTATGAGGGAGCACAGGTAACAATATGAGGGAGCATTAATGGGGAACAATATGAGGGAGCAAAGGTTATGATGAGACATATAGAGAAAAGGATACAAAATAAGGACTGAAGGAAGCACCGGACATAAGGACATAAGGAAATTCAAAGAGCACACCAAAGAGCGTAGATATAAAACTATGAAGTAATAAGAAAAACACGCCACAGCGATAGATGACAAAGCAAAACCGAGTAAACTATGTCATCCACAAATTGTACCGAAAAAAGTCAGTAAAACTCATTTTCTCGAAGAATAGAGACCAGGTAGTTTAAAAAATCACCCAGTGACAATATCATTCAGCCATCACGCCATCATTTGTCGACCCGTGTTGCTGCAGCGGCTCACCTGTTCCAGCATAGCTTCCTCGGATCCGGCGGCGGCAGCGGGCCGGCCGGCGGGCGCCGCGCCGGCCGCGCCGCCGGTGCCGGCCGCCGGCGCCGGCTCGCGGCTCTCCTGCTGCTGCTGCAGCGCGCGCTGCTCGTCCATGGAGACACGCAGCGCCAGCGCCAGCTCCGGGTCCTCGTTCGGGTCGACGCCGAACTCGAAGCCCGACCCGCCGCCGATGCCGGGCGCGCCGGCGCCATCCTCGCCCTGCCGGACGGACGGTGGGAGACGGTGGGGGACGGTGAGAGCGGACAGGTGTCCCGCGCGGCACTGCCGCCACCGACCCGTCAGCTAGAGCACATCGCGCCGCTAAGAACAACACTGCCGAGCTAAAACCGTCCATGGTACCTAAGCATTACGGTCAGCAAGCACAGCTAACCAACATTGCACATTGTAAGTACATGGAAATGCTTTCCGGACCAGCGCTCTGGATACGGCCAACTACGTACGAGAGACGTATGTTCGGCGTACGTACCTCCGTCGCGGGCTCGCCACCCGCTCCCCCGCTGTCCGTCCCCACCCGACCCGGGAGACGCCGACACGGCGAGGTGACGGCGCACAGAGATACTACGAGCGCCCAGGGACCGCCGGCCGGCGCGAAACACAGCGGTACCAGCTGGGCAGCGCCCCGCCGCAGTAATAGCAGCGCAGAGACCGGCGGGCCGAACCGAGAGCCAAATGTCGCCCGAACTGTGGCCGGTCACAGCCGACACCAGCCCTGCCAAAGGCACTAACTCCGCGCCGGAGAGCTCAGCGCTGACATCGTCACTTTTCACGGCATCCATCAAAAGAGAACACTAAACGAACTAATGAAACGAAAGGGCTCTCCGCTGGGCGCACGGACCCAGCCTGAGCGGCCGCCGCGACCTGCGACCTGCGACGCGACGCGACTGACCTGCAGAATGGGTGACGAGACGAGCGCGTCGGAGAGGTGCGGCCCCGTCGGCACCGTCACCAGGTGGCTGCCGGTGCCGTCCTTGCCGTTGATGGTGTTGATGAACTGGCTCAGCAGGTTTGTGTTGGCCGCCTGGCAACGCACGCCCACATCACAGTACGTCAGAGCACGGCGCGGCGCATAGGGCGACGCCGGTCACACGCGGGCTGACGGAGTCCAGCGCACACACCCGGGGAAGGCCCCTCACTAGAAATACAGATATAGCATCGAACATTTGTAAAGACTGCGCTGTACCATTAGGCACGAACAGATCAGAACACAAAGCCCGGCCCAAGAGTGTGACCCGGGAGAGGCACTGACTGTTCAGATACCTTGGAACACTCATCAATCATATGCAATCGGATTAAGTTAAGTGGCAGCACTAATGGCATGGCTATGAGGGTAATCAATATACCAACAAACTGAGACATTGTGCTAGATCAAGCCAGAATGATAATGATGAGCACTAAACGACTGACCTCCTCTCCAAAGCTGACGATGTCCACGTTGACCTTTTCTTTCTTGAGCCGCTTGGCGACTTTGATCACCTCCTTTTCGTCACAGTCGATCGGCGAGCCGACGAAAAAGATGATTCTGGTCTTGTGGTTCTTGCTCTGACGGTGCTTGAGGGCCAGCTGAAACGAACCGTTGGCCGATGAGTGTGACAGTGAAGTGTGCGCCTCTCGTCTGCGACAGCGGTGATGGGCCCATCGGTCGCCGCTGGAGCGGAGCGACGCCGCCGGTCAGAAAAACCGGCCCCTTCCGCCCCTCCCTCAGCCAGCCAGCCTCAGACGGAAACCACTCAGGCGCCGGGCGGGCCAAAAATCAGACAAAATGGGAGCGGTGATGCAAAGGGATGGATTCACACAACACGCACAACGCTGGGATGGATTTTAAATCCTGAATTATCCAAGCGATGACATGCGAAATGCGATATTCAGCCGGGCGTAACAGATGTGATAACTTCAATGCGAAACGTCCCAGACGTTTCAGGGGAATGACCTTCCATTCAACTCAAAGTGCGTGATGAAGAACGGGAGATTTAATATGAATCTCATGAAATGCTGCTTTATACTCAGAACCGGACAGAAGAAACTGCTGAGAAACTGTAGCACTTACACGATGCCTCATTAATCAAATATCCATAAAAATGTGAAGTTTTCGTATTCACTGCGATGTTGACAAAATGTACAATCTCAAAGTGGTCGAACTTGTATTGCCTTCATTCCTGAAACCAGCGCTGCGAGCAAACGTAGAAACTCATCAGCTTAACAGTGGCAGGCAATGAAATTAGAACTAGTCTTCATCGGCATTGCCAAAGATGCCACAACCACAGACCGGTAGGCAAGTTATAGGTACGCTGGCTCAGAGCGGTATGTGGAATCAATTCGTTCGTTAGATGTGCTGATGCCCGGCACCCGGCCGCCATCAGGCCTCCGGCAGTGACCAGCGTGTCGGCGCCGCGGCGATCATCGATTGATCGCCGCACCGAGCCTGGCCGCCGGGCCGGCTCGGACCGCGCCTCGTGTCGTGAAGGGGCTCAGTGCGGCGGCAGCGTTAACGCGTCGCGCTGCTGACCGCCCAGACTGGCAGTGTGGTCAGTGCAGCCGGTCCCAGTGTCGGCAGCACAGGCTCCCGGGCAGGGCACAGGTGTCCGCAGTCGTGATGATAGACGAGGCAAAGTAACCTGACAGGGCTGATGGATAGGCGCCCCAACTTCAGATAGGAAAGACATCCGCTGTCGAAGACCTGCGAAAAATACGAAGTTGCGATGGTAATTTTTCGATCATATTATAGTTTGGAGAATAAAAAGTACAAAAATGCTAAGTCGACTACTTCTGCATTCACTGAACAACATACAAATATTAAACTACGGATATTGAGTCCAAGCCTTAGTAGGAAATACGTTGGCCTCATCACTTGTTGAGGTGCGTCCACCTCTCCTTGCTGCGGGCATTGCGCGCTGTCGCACGACTCGCGCCCACCGCGCCAGCACGGCACGGATCGGCGCCGCCCCGATCGGATCCAATGACGCCCTAACGGCGGCGATCACATGACGGCCGCGGTCGTTGGGCCAGACCAGAGACCATCAGGCGGGGCCCGTCCGCCGCCGGAAAACGGTGCAGGCCCGCGGCGCCGGCCGCCCCACAGGACAGGTCCTGGCTAGGAGCTAAAAGGTGGCTACGACCCGACCGATCCCCTGAGGCCGCAGACGGGTCGGTCGGCTCCGGACATTGAGAACCAGCCCCACGGGTCAGTGGTCAACCAACGGCATTAGGCGACCATCAGCGTCTGTGTGCCGGACGGCGAGAGGGACAGGTCAGAGCTCACACAGTCGGAAGGGACAGGTCAGAGGTCAGAAACACGGTCGTAACGGACGGATCATGGACACACCCGACAGGCTGGAGGGGCGGTTCACTCCGAACGGGTCAGGACTACCAACCGCTACGGTCCCTCGCGATGAGCCCAGCCGTAACGGCCCCTCGCTGCAGCCCCTCCGCCCACTGGGGACAGGGTAAGAGTTGGACACACATTGCACGCACGCCTACGATTTGCTAGGCGCTGGTCGGTACAGTACCAACCGACGCCCAGCCAACGGCGGACGCCCACCGCAGTATACAGGGCTAATCGCATCGCAATCTAGCCGCATTCACATCGAAAAAGCGAGTCACCAACCAGGCGGTGACGCAGTGAGATCCAGAAGGGAATCAGTTCACTTGGTGTGAAACGTAAATAGCAAGCAATAAATTACACGAGACGAAAAAGCAGCGCGAAAGATTTGGAAAACTTGGAAGCTTTCAGTGGCGAAACTTTTCTGATTTGAAATAGACATGCTGAGATTCAATTGGTTCAGTTCAATCACAAAATCGGACGGGTGGGATGATGAGGTGGCACGTCCCAACTGGCGAGTAGAAACTCTCTCGCAAGAAAGACCAGTGTACGCCGATAACATGTTTTAGCCAAACAACGGTGGCTGAATAGGGCATGTGCTAATGAATTTAATGACGTTCAATTCCAGGAGCAGAGCTTTGGCTCGTTTGGACAAGCTCTGAGCAGGCTTTAGCAAAGAGACAAGACAAGGTATTAGGTTTTGACGGCTAAAAAGCCGCCGCCAGTAAACCTTAATCATTCAAGAATGGAACATTATTTCAATTTTTTAGTATAAATGTACATACTTATTTTTATTCATGCCGACAAATATCCATTCAAATTTGCTGATGAAATAATGCAAGTGTGGTGATATGATGACATGATGATACTTTCAAATGTTAAAAGTAAGGTCTAAGCAGAAATGCATATGAAGAAAAACAAAAATAGAATGATTCACTGATCCATTCAAGAGACAGTTCTTTTTGGCAATGTGTGCCCCTTAGCACCACGAAATTTGAGAAGAAACATTTGAGCAGTACATTGATCTTCAGGGCAAACAAAAACGGCTTTCAATTTACGTGCGCCTGCACCTAAAATCATTCCAGCCTTGCGGCTGCCATATGACCCAACTTGTCGCCACGTTATCGAAGTTGGCACCGTTGCGAGTCTCATCAAACGCCTGTGGGCCGGTGGACTGCACAAAATTGCACGCAGCCGGCGTGGGCCATGCTCGGGTCCGGTCCGCGGTATCCGGCCAGCGCGCGGTGGGCAGCGCCGCACCGTTTAATTAACTCGCCGGCTAACTGGGCGATCCACGTCGACCGAGAGGCCAACTTTGCGCGCCCGCCGCCGCCCGACGACCGACGTCTGAGGCGCTGCTATAAAAGGCCGGTCAGCGACGCCAGCCGGCGACCGACCAGCCCGCAGCTCTCCGGGCTTGAGTGGTGTAAGTGCTCCTCACCTGACCAGACAGTGCGCTCGTGATGGAGGGAACGCGACACCCTGAGAAATAGCATCCAAGGTATCAAGACCAAGGATGACTGATGATGATGGTGATGACTGTGCCGCGATAGTAAAAATTATGATGCTAATGATAAATATTGTCAGCGACATTCAGGAGGCGTAGCCATAGACCTATTCTGTTACACTCACGTGATCCACGCGCGAGGTGCTTTTAAGGAAATGCTGCTCTACCTTGTAAAAATGTACGGCCTTCCAGTATTAAGTGGTTGGTTGCCAACATCACAATAATCGATCTACATTGATGAATACGTCTAATGGCTGTTGAAAACCACTGCCGAAATGTGTGCACGAGCCCTCTCCTCATTTATATTGAGTCATTTTACAGGAGTGTCTCCGTAATTTAAAGCTATTACACCAAAAGCACATAGGCTAACCAACCACTCTTTTGCTGGAGGGCCGTACTTCGTGTGTGTGTGTGTGTGTGTGAGGGGGGGGGGGGGGGGACTGAGGGAGGGAGGTGTCATGGTATGGACAATGTCCGTACCATGACATATTGGACATTGCTCATGTCGGTGATAGTGGCTAAAGGACGGCCCCCAACACAATCCAGACGGCGGGCAATCTGTGCGACGGCTTGGGCCACTGAAGGATGCATTGCATTATATTTGAGAGACAGTTAAGACAATAGAACGTGATGGAACTAAGGCAACACTGCCCATAGCTTTAGGCAATTGCATCAGAAGAGAGATGTCGCAGCCAGCGATGTAAGTAAATTTATGAGTTGCTCCGTAACAAACGACCGAAGTTATTTTTAAAACTTCAGACACTGTTGCATTGCAGTAAGGGATATTCAAAATGGGAGAATGGTGCCATCCTTTCGGAACAAACTAATGCATTTCAGATTTCTTGACATCAGCATTAACTGAAACGTCAAAAAAGCACGTCAAGTTGTTAAATGGGAAATACCAATGTTTGAAAGTAAAGGCATAATACCTGTAATAAAAACAGCATAACTAATCTGACCATCTGACATGAAATAATCTAACAGACGTATGGCAGGCAATGCTGCCGATTCTAATAAAAAAAAATGTACAAGAAGGCACACATTCAGGACACGATCATCGTCGATAGAGTTGCCCGGTACGTGGAAAGTACAGCCGGTAAAGTAACGATCTCTTCAATAGGCAATCTCCGGCGCCTGGTAAGTCAACAGCATGCAAATTGAACTTGAACTAAGCCCACTGCATTGGGAGATATCCCCTTTAACGAGATACGGATGTGAGCTTATTTCAGTTTCAACGTAACAACATTCATTAAAGTATTTTGATGTTGGGCTTCTGGAGGAAATTGCCTCCGGGCCGGCTGCTGTGCCCCCAGAACGTCCCATATTCAGTGTGCCAAGGGTGTCGGACGGCGACACGTGCGGGCGACGGAGCCATCGCCACTCGGCCGGCCATTTCCGGACGACAGGAGCCATTCCAGACACACCGACAGCCGGAACGGCCGGGCTGACAACAGCGCCGACCCCGTCATGAAACGGTGACTGCCGTCCATTCACGGGCACATCAGGCTCTCACTAGTCCGGAGCGCATCCATCACAGCCAACTGCCACCCTCTGACCTTTATCAAAACGGCGCGCAATGGAAATGGACCTGATAAATCTCCATGAAGAGCGTTTAGCTGCTCACCTCGCAAGGAGCGGCTGAGATGCCCAGCAATAGAGCGATCTACGCGAACACTATATTTTGATGCGTCATTAAGATGCCTTGGCAGTTCTGAAGCACAAAAGCCAGTACATCTC